GCTGTTGGTAGACTTTACTCGGGGAAAAACCTAACGCCCAGGTTAATAAGATGGGCTTTAAAACTCCAAGAATATAATCTCATAATCAAATATAAACCGGGTAAGGAAAACAATGTAGCTGACGCACTTTCTCGTATAAAACTGGACGATGAAGGCAATGAACTTAAATGCGCTGTGTTGACTTCAAAAATTTTAGATTCTAGAGATACAATTATTGCTGAATTGAAAGCTGATCCTGAATTTGGAAGTATCTATGCATATTTGAAAGACCCCGAAAGCTTTGAGCACACAGATATCGATGCGATAAGAAATAGAGCAGAAAACTATGAAATAATAGATAATTTATTATTTTATACGAAAACAACAAACGAAAATCTCGAGTACAAACCAGTCATCCCAGCCTCGCTTCGATTAAGCATTTTGAAGGAATTACACGACGCGAAAACAGCGGGTCATTTAGGGGTCAGAAAGACTTTAAAAAGGGTACGCGAGGCGGTATATTTCCCGCAATTATACAAAATAGTAACTGCGTATGTCAGGTCCTGCAATAAATGTCAGTTAATAAATGATATTAATTACAGCCCGGCCGGGTACTTAAATAGCATTCGCGCTACATTTCCGAATGAAATTTTAGGCATAGATCTTCTTGGTCCTTTCCCCCAGAGTGAGTTAAATAAAAATCGTTTTCTTTTAGTAATTGTAGATCATTTTTCAAAATGGACCAGAAATTGTTCCACTTAAACGCGCGTCAGCCAAAACAGTCGCAGATGCATTCTTACACAGATACATTTTAAAAATACGGTGCACCGATAAAAGTCATTAGCGATAACGGTAAACAATTCGTTAGCCAAATATTTGAAAACATATGCACTGGACTTGGCATACGCCATATCAAAATGGTTCCGTATAGACCACAGGCAAACATAGCAGAAAGAGTTAATAAAAACATTGTAAAAATAATTCGAAGTTATGTTAGCACACATCACAAGCGCTGGGATGGCTACATAAATATGTTAGCTTATGCTTTAAGAACGGCAAATCACGATACTACGGGAAAACCCCAGCAGAATTATTTTTAGGACGAAAGTTAATTACGCCATTAGATAAATTATTCTTTGTGCAACAAAGAGAGCAAGAATTTAAACAGAAAGATGTGCAAACACTTATTGACCAGGCGGTTAAAAGCTCGGATACGGCAAGAAATAGGCAGAAAGTATATTATGATAGAAAACGCCGTGAAGCAGATTTTAAAGTTGGAGATAAAGTGTTGAAGCGGAAATTTTCTTTATCAAGTGCCCCAGACAATTTTACTGCAAAGTTAGCTCCAAAATTTGAAGGCCCTATGTAATTCAGGAAATCAAGGGAGTCGTATTGTACCTTAAGAACGAGAGAGGGGAAATCTGTAAAGCAAGTCCCGACCAGGTGAAAAAATATTATAATCAAAATGATTTTGAAATCCTTAAAAGTTTCTTGCAGGACTCAAGCGTAAAAGAAGTAGAAGGTCCAGAAATAACGTCACCCGTTCCACCACCCAAGAAGCAGAGAACTGAAGAGAAACCTAGCCCTTCTACAAGTCATGCGACGGTACCGAAAAGAAGAAATGAAAACTTTCAGACTCCAGCATTTAAGAAATACAAGAAAGCAAAGCCGCCGCGTAAAGAAACTTTGGTAAAGAGGAAAACACCACTTACAACGTTATCGCAGTAGAAATTCTACATCGAGGAGAACGCTTCCAGGGCCAGAGAGTCAGGTGCAAACAAGGCCGCCGTTCCCGAGAACGAAAAGACAGCAGGAGGAACGAAAAGACCACCACCAACAGAAGAAATTCCAAGCACGATTCCAGACCGGAGGACGCCAAGACCAGCCGTCCAGGGGCAAAAACGGAAAAGACAGCAACCCGACGACTACCACTCCAAGAGGCCAGCATGCAGAGGGCGAAAAAGAAAAAGCAACGTGGACGACACTCGAAGGACCCTAAGGAGAAGACTGACGTCCATGAAATCCTATAACGTGGGAGCAGTTCTGCCAGAAGAGAATGTCGGAGTTACAATCATCGAAAACTCAAAGATAAGTTAAAATCTTCTATAAATTTTTTTTCTTTTGTTCCGAAATGTTCTGCGTAAATAGAAAGTTCTATGTTTTGACGGAAGTCAATGTGTCTCGGTTGAGACTTAGTTTTGTTTTACTTTATTTAGCTAAGGCAAAAGTATTATTTTCTTTAAGTATAAAATCTAAGAACAAGCAGTTTCTGTTGGTCGAAAGACTAATTCTGTTATGTTAAAGCCAAAATTTGGCCGAAGATAAAAATAACTTCGTATTCTTGTATTAATAAGAACTTTAGTTTCAGTGCCGCCAGCTTGGCGAAGAATGAGTAAAGTAAAAATTTATTTTTCTCTTATTCATTTTATGGTAAATTGTAAAAATCATATGTATTAGAATTTTGTAAATATACGTAAATACTTGAAAGTTATGTAAAAGTAGAATTTAGTCTAGAAGCATAAAATTTTAGATGCTAAAAGTAAATGCTCAAAAGCAATGAATTCAAATTTAAGTATTAAACTGTAGATAAAATCATGCTTTAGAGCGAAAGCCTGCATGTCTAAAGATGAATGAGGGGGAATTTAGAATGAATGTGTTTTGTAGGGTTCTCCACCTACACTTGAATTTTAAGAATGTTAAAGTAGCTCATCGAGTTGTAGAATGTCGAGTAAGGTGTGTCTATTTGGTCGTTGAATTCTAACAAATCATTGTGGTTAGGAGAAGTGTTGCAATACTAAAACACGAATATTCCCGTTTGACACCACACATGGTGGAGAGCCAGGGTAAAGTTAAATTCATGTTTGAATACTTGAATGAATGTGAATTAAGCAGTAACTAAGGAAAATAAATCGTTCAAAAACAAAAACTTATTCAGTGTCAAGAAAGTGTAAATTATAATGTATTTAGAAAGATACTGATACTTATTCCTTCCAGATGCTGGAAGGAAGAGAACAAGATTGATTGCTGAAGTCCAGGGAAAGGTTGCTGTAAGAAGAGAGAGTTAAATAAGTATCTACAGAAATTTATTCTACCTTTTGTGAGATAACAGATTTTTTTTTATGTAAACGAGGCTCTTAAAATTTAGATCAGAATTGTGGAAACTTTCCAATAGGTCGTTTCTAGGACCTGCTTCCAAGTTTTCCAAATTCTGGCAGCGGCAAATGTAGGGTTTATATTTATTTTAACTAACATTTATTTTAAGTTTAAACTATCTTTCCTGTCAAGCCTTACTTTCCCCTGGAATTGCCAATGCCAGAGTATGTAAATTTTAGTAGAACGCGCAAAGGATTCAAATTGTCAGCGGAAGTAATCTGAGTTAAATAGAAGGGAAACGAGTTCGAAAGTGTGCTTTCTTGCTTCACGAGCGTGGAGGTGGCTAGTTAGAAATTGAAGAACCACGCGTTTCGGCCTGTGTGCTTGCCTCGGCAGATTGTTAATTTTTCAACGTAATATTCAGAAGTTTGCTGAATTATCAGCGGTATCTTAGAACGCGGTGAGGTTAGTTACGTTTAGAGAGCCTCGTAGTTAGTCACTTGTTATTATTCTTTTTTCAGTTTTTTATTTTTATTTTACCGCCGGGTCGGCGTAGTTTGTGAGCGTCAAGAGCACGCATTTGTAATTTCTAAAGTTGAATAAAAAGGGACTTTAAACCCTTCTCAAGACTCTGTCTAATTTCAGTTAGCACACCACTTTGCGTGAGGTTGGAAGCGCGCAACTTTACAAGCTGTTAGAGTTACCTAAATCGGGTTTAACCTTTTGCTAGCCGTGTTTGCTTGCGTATTTAGAAACCCGATTCAAAGCTTATTATAGGACTTTATTTTACGAATTTCAGAAGACTTTGTCTTTTAATTACTTAAATATTTCATGGTAGAAGTTCTTGAATATTAGTTAGAAGTTCTAGAAAATTAGTTAGAAGAATATTTCATGTTGTTTATTCATGTAGTTTAAATATTTCATGTCATTCAGTTAGCAGAGATGAATGATTTTGTTGTAACCCATTGTATTTAATAAGTTATAATAAAAAGGTATATTTTAAACTTTCGCCTCAGTTGATAGTTATTTCGCTTGGTAACTAAAATGGGGCGATAAGTTGCCTGAAATATTACACGGAACTATATTTTATTTTATTAGGTTTCCGTATAATTACACTTTATAAAACGGATCGCAAGCTACGAGGAAATTTTTGCGGTAATATTGATGTGTAGATGAGGCAAGAAGAGAATAACCGTTTTAGAAGATAATATAATTGTTGCACTGGTAAAAGAAAAAGTTGAAAATCCAAAGAATGAGACGGATTGGGAGGACATTGAGGAATGTCAGAACTATGAAAATGTTAAGTTGTCGCACACTGAAGGTTTATTTATTTAGTTGATTATGGTGTAGCGTACGACGGCTATCTGTCTAAGGGAGGAATGTCTTCATGGATGACATTCTACAGGATACACAATAAAGGACTGAAGGTATCTGCCTAAAGGAAGGGATCTTCGCTAACTTGAAGCAGTACGAAGAAGCAAAGTAAGAGTGTGTAAAATTTCATCAGATTTTCTCCTAAAGATCTTAGTTATATTTTAGTTATATTGCCTGTAGGTATGCATTTTTATATTAGCACATTACTTATATTTCGCTAGACTACATACATGGTCTTCCGCTCTTTATACGTTAAGAGTCTTAAATAAATAAATTTATCGCAAAGTATTGAATTATGTACAATTTTAAAAGAATAGCTTGTAGTCATGTATTGTGAAATATTTACCTGGATTCCATAAATTTCGTCATTTTCAATAATTTGTCATGTATTCAGTCTACACTGTATCGAGTTTGTGGAATTCTTCTACACTGGTCATTTTCATTATAGTATTTTACAGAAATGTTCTATTTACAGAACTTACCATGCAATTTTCGATGCATACGTGAAGATCTGAGTTGAGTCATCTTACAAACAAAAAAGTAAAACTATTGCATCAATTTTTAAAACACCGTAGTAACGAAATCTTTTATTTGACACTTTTATCTTGGCACTCAGTATGGACATGTGAACAAAACGAAAGTTTAAGGTCAATGATTTTAAATTAAAAGTTTTTATCAGCAACCTGCAATATTTACGCTTCGGCACACCATAACTTGTTGGGTGCTTTCATAAACAGTCCTGCACATTTTTTCCTTTTGGCAACGATTTCTCGTATCCAGTAGTTTTCCTGTTACTTGTGGTTGAGGCTGGTCATTTTGAACTTGTTTCTGGTTTCGATAAGGAAAATGTACCTGTTTGTTATGGTTATTTTTTGAAGAACAGCATGATGTTCTAGGTAACGTTCTTCGGAGGCCTGAACAACAAGAACTACCACTTCTGCAGCAAGATTGTCGAGTACTCGAACTTTCAGTTGTTTTGCAACAAGAATTTGTAAAGCGATCCTTTTTCCGATGATGACGTTGTCGGTGAGACGTGTGGTCAGAGTTTGATTGAGGCAAAGATTGTATCATATTGGCATGGACCATATTGGCATAAGGAGCTTGTGGATGTCTTGGGTGCATTGAAACACCTGGTGGTAAAACATTCATTTGTAACTGATGATCATACTGATGTGGATGCCTGAACTGATGAGCAGAAACTATTTCGCTTTGAAGAGGGATTTCATTACGACTATAAATTAATCGTGAATGCCCTTGCTGGTGGGAGTTATTGAGCTGCTCTTGACGGGGAAATACGTCTTTTCTTACATGAAAAGTGACGCCATTATGTCTTTGTTTCTGTATACTGTGATTTTCTCTTAATCTTGGACCCCTTGTAATATAAATAGGATGGCTGCGAAATGTTGTCCCCGCGGACTGTTCACTTTGCTTGTCTCTTGCTTTTATAACATTGTTAAAGGTTCTGTTAGTGGGAGAGTCATTTGTTTTGGTTCTGTGTCTAAAATCTGATGTACTGTCTGGTGGTTGTTCAGTTGATAATTTTCCGACATCAATTATTATTTTGTCTGGCTTAAAATCACGCAAGACATTCTGAAATCTTATCCTACGAGGAGAGGTTTCGTCCTCAGTGATTAAGTTAGGTTTTATATCTGTATGTAGATTATACTTATTTGTATTATTTCCATTAGGTTTGGAAAAAATATTATCTTTATTAATTTCAGAGTTAGAAGAAGCATTATTATCGATATTTTCGTCAAGTGTATTTTCGCTTGGAAGATCTGAGCGGTGGCTGGGAATAGAAATGCTTTTACCCATTGTTGGTAGTTCTGCAATTGCATATGGTTTAGGAATAATATTTAATGCATTTGGTTCTGAAATTCTATCCTTATCAAGAGTATTTGAGAACAAAAATTCATTTGAACTGATTACGTTTGATGAGAATGCATTCTGCTTAGTAGGCGAGTTTCTTGCAGAGTGACTAAATGTTTGAAAGATGTGTCGGTTATTTGGATTATTGTAAGTTGTAGCATTTAGCTCCTTAACCTCATTAATGTAATTACTTGGCGCATTTATTATCCTTTTATGCTCAGAAGAAGATATAGTGTAGGGAAATTCTTCCGCCAGCGCTGTTAATTTCGTGGTATCTGTAAGAATAATATTATTTGCATCAAAATTTGGATTATTGTAAAATGTGGCTGTTAAATTATTAATTTTATTAAAATAATTGCTCTGTGTATTTATTATGCTTTCATGTTCAGGAGAAGATGTGGTGTAGAGAATTTCTTCCCTTGGAGTCGTTGATTTCGTGTTATGTGGATAAGAAACGTTACTTTTGTGTTTCAAATTATCATAAGCGTTAACCTGTGAAGATATATGGTTGGTAAATGTATGGGAATTGGGAATTAGGAATTGCTGTCTCTCTTCACCGTTTAGTTGCTGATGAATACTAGAATTAAGATTTTGATTATTACGAGAAGAAGGATAATTGCCACGCAAATCATAAAATCCTTCAAATTCTGTGCGAATGTCTTCATTGTTTTGTCCAGCTATATTTGATTTTGCTCTGTTGCTTAGGTTCTCAAATTTGTTTGTTATTTTAGGGATCTCGAGTACATTAATAGATACATCTGGGTATTCGGTAGTACTTGGGGTATCTCCTACTTGATCAATAATTTGTGGTTCATATCCATTTACATTGTGTAGTTTCTCTTCCGCTAAAGCCTCTGTTTCAATATTACGATTTCTGGTGGCACTTTGTCTGTAAAGTTTAGCATTTGGTATTCGTTCATCAGTCTTTACATGACTACTTAGGTGACTTTTGTGTAATTTTAATTTTTCATTTTCTGGTTTAAAAGTTGGAGAAAAGTTGTCAAACTCTGAATACAAATTTCCGAGGTATTCAATTCGGCTTTCTCGATCTGGAACAAAAGGAATGCTGGAAATGTTTTTATCATGATCTGTATTCACGATATTCTCCACTTTGTTTGGAAAAGAATATTGAAATGATGAAATAATACCAGCATTTTCACCCAAAGAAGTCTTAAAAAAACTGTTAATATTTTCAGAAACAGCAGGAAAAGTTTCTTTTATACCATTATATATTTCGTTATTTACGGAACTTCTACCATACTTAAAATTAGGTACAATATGCTGTGAATTATCCTGAGGATTTCCATTAGTGCTCTTTCGAAATGAAGAATAGTTATTCCTAAAATTGTGAGGAAGATCGAACATGAGATCCGGAATGTAAATCGGTAGCAGTGGGATTCTCTAAAACAGATACATTTCCTTCACTGTCAAGGATAGAATTTGAAATTTTTCTGTCAGAAATGTTCACTAGCTGATTAGAAAGTACACGATTCTTAGTTTCTGGTAAACCGATAGGATTGTTAGCTTTATTGCTTTCTTCAGGCATCTGAAAATTAAAATGATGAACATGGGCGGCAGAATCTCCAAAACCTCTTCGTATATTATCGGTACGATGATCAGTTTGCGGAATAACGGGAATATTTTCTTTTTCTTGTGCCGTGTCATAACTTCCCGCATGATAATGATTGTTGTGGACTGGTTGATGAGGGATTTCATCGAAATTAAAAGTTTCACTAGGTATCTCAGGAGATTGTCTCGGGTTTTTATTTTCCGCAGGAATCTGGAAAAAAAAAAAAAAAAAAAAAAAAAGTTGCTCGTTGTTTGTTTTTTTCACAGAAAGCAAGATGATAAAAAAATACATTTTTAAAATTTTATTTGTAATGATGATCTTGAATATGGGCAATAAAAATTAATGTTCTTTTTTAAGGTTTTAAATATATTTAAAATTCAAATAATATATTTTATAAAATGTATTTTATTCAGTTTAAATACGCAGACTGTTAAAAATATCCAAGTCATTATACGAAATTAAATTTAGTTCAAACTGCCGAGATATTCGGTTTCATTTTGTAGAGACATTAGATATTTTGGAAGCAGGAAAGATGAAAAATGAGCAACGCCTTCGCCAGGATTCGAACCAACCACGGACTTCTGAAATACGCGCCCAGCGTGCAGACCACCACACCACGAAGGCATGCCAAGAAAGTTGGAGAAATACCTTATATATATAATAAAAAAGCCTTACTTTAAAGGGCAACTGGGATTTTTAGGGGGGGGGAGAAATATCTTATAATGTTTTCTCAGGAACATCGTTTCATAGCGTTTTTAAGTACCTTAAAAGGCAGATAAATGACACCAAAACAGAGTGACGCCATATATAGAAATGCCTCTGAGACGGAAAAATCAATGACTGATGCAAAAACAGGTTGTCTCATTGCGATCATTTAGTTACTATAACATCGGATAGGGTAAAGTATATAAGGTATTTTTCCCGCCTTCTTAGCGTGCCTTCGTGGTGTAGTGGTCTGCACGGTGGGCGCGTATTACAGAGGTCCGTGGTTCGATTCCCGGCGAAGGCATTGCTCATTTTTCAACCACGGGAAATTCCCAGCGTATTACAGACGATTCCTCAGACGGGACGTCACCTGTTCTTGCGGTTTTCGCGGGGAAGACGCGGACGCACTTCATTACCTGCTCTCTTGCCCTCTGAGAGAGCGCCTTCAGCAGCAGTTTTTTCCTTACGACTACACCACATATCCTGTGAATAGACTGTTCACGGACTATTACTGCAACAAGGGCATCTTAGAGATAATGTAGAAAGTGAATGAAAATAATTATATCCAAGAAACTAAAGATTAATGTAAAATGTAGAAAGGCGGCCTAACCGTCAGATTGCTAGCAATGACTAGGATGACTTCCTAACCCAATAGTGCCATTAACTTAATTTGGCGGAGCAGGTTAAGTAAAGTGACCATATCTCTCCTACTTCAAAATAGCCTAATGGTCTCTGCAGTGGAGACCGAACTAAAAGGGTGATGGATGATGACTCTCCACAACCAGGATTTGGTGACTGGGTCCTCTAAAACCCCCAGTCGCCCTTTAAAAGAGTGAGTATATAAGGTATTTCTCCCGCCTTCTTAGCGTGCCTTCGTGGTATAGTGGTCTGCACATTGGGCGCGTATTCCAGAGGTCCGTGGTTCGATTCCAGGCGAAGGCGTTGCCCATTTTTTATCTCTCCTGGCTTCGAAATAACTTTATGTCTCTACAAGTAAAATAAATTCACACAGAGGCTCATGTAACAAGAACTACGTCTTGTGAATACCTTATAGTGATAATTTTTGTAGTGTGTATATCGAAACTGTGACATTAAAACGTAAAAGTGCATAACCCCTGTAACATCCCTTTGGTGAAAACGTAGAGATCACATACAAGATTGTTATTTTTGTTAATTCTAGCAATGAAAGGTATTAATTTTGAAGAAGTAAAGATGTGTGTCCAATCACGGATACCGAATTCAGTCACTTCATAGTGATATGTCTCCTGTTTCACAGCAACCTGTGACCTGTAGTTTAAGTAAAATGCATACCATCAGTTAGCTACGAACCGTGAAGAAGACAAAGACTGTATTTGACAACTAGAGTAACTTTTAGTGGAGTGTATGATTATCTGAACAGAGCTCAGTGAGTTTGCCATGGATTATGCAAAAATAAAGCTCTATTGCTTAGATCAAGGCATCAGGAGTGAAATTGATTACATAATGATGTATGTACTTGTATTATTGTGAACGACACAAAGGATTTCTCTGTTTTTATGACAACAGTAACGTAATTATTCTTCCTTAGTGATATCCCCAGCATGATTCTTCTTTAGGCATATGTCTCAAGTTCGAAAAGTAACGGCTATTTATTGACGCTTTGAAAATGAGTTTAAAAGAAATATTCTTTCATTTTGGAAGTAAAACTAACTCTATTCTTGCTGTGTATGCTTCAGGGGAGGAAGGTTATGCTGTTTTGAAAAAGTAGTCAGATACTGCTGAAATACAGTGAGCTGTAAATATAACTTGATCGAAAAGCATTCATTTTTAACTGACAATTAAATTTATGTGGATAGCTGAATTTCTGTAAAAAGTTATTTTTAAAGAGATTAAGCCATTTTAAAGAGAGATTTTATTACGATTATAAATTAATCACGGTTACTCTAAAAGATAAATTAAGCCATTTTAAAGAGAGATTTTATTACGATTATAAATTAATCACGGTTACTCTAAAAGATAAATTAAGCCATTTTAAAGAGAGATTTTATTACGATTCTAAATTAATCACGAATACTCTAGAACATAAGATTTATTGCGTGTTTTTGACTGAGAAATATGCCCTCCGATCTATCGATCGAGTCTCCAAATGATTCTGCCAATTAATGAATAGAAGTCTTCCAAATTTTGTTTTTAGGTGAGAGATAAGCATCGGGATATTAACTACGGGAACGTAAAGATTTAACGCAGCACTTTCTGCTACGACATCAACTGCTTTATTTTTCACTACACGGGTGTACTATGGCAATCAGTGTAGAAGGATTTCAAATTATTAGGTAATATTAATAGGAATAGCTATCTGCTTTTCATATTGTACTCTAACAAGCCTATAAATTAGGAAAGGAATCTGTGTGCTTGTTAATATTGAGCTTTTGTTGATTCTACACCTCAGGGCCTCAGGAAGAGGACACAGAATAGTGCTTATCATACACGGAATAGTGTTTACGAGAATGTTATTGCCCCGCATAGATGACAACTTCAACATGAAAGAAACAAATTCATCTCTTTTGTATTCATATACGTAAACAGCAGAGCAACTGGGGCAATCCAGAGACTGTTTGCCGACACTAAAGTGCGCCGGATGGCTTTGTAATTAAGACTGTTTATGTTAAATCATCCATGTAAGAGAAGATGGAACATTGGAACTTACTAGACTTTCCAAATCGTGAAGTATTGATCAGAACAGCTTTTCTTTATGGGATCAAATTAAGAATGACAAGTTTACACTATTCTAGATACTAAATTAGTGGCCTGTGTAAATCACGGACGAAGCACCTCTATTATGAATGCTGCTAAATACCAGATCGATTCTATTTCGAGAACGGCTTAGAGAAAAGAAGCATCGATGCTTTTCACTAAACGTGTTATTTATAGGGAATTTAAAGACTGTGTAGCAGATTGCTATTTTTGACGACTTAAATTCGAAAGGCTATAGAGTCATTAGGATTTTTGCAGTGGGAGAGGCGAAAAATGTGCAGTGCTCTCACTGGGAACCGAGCCCTGGTCCTCTCGAATACGCACCGAGTGTGCTACCGTTACACCACGAAGGCTTGCTGGGAGGAGAGAGAAAATATCTTATATACTACCCTTTTAAAGGGCGACCAGGGCCAAATCCTAGTGGTGACAATTTATTGTCCACCATCTTTTAGTTCGGGTGTCATTGTAGAGTGATAAGGTGGTTTTTTGTTTTTCTTTTTGTTTTGTTTGTTTTGTTTTGTTATGGTGTGTGTGTGTGTGAAGCTGGAGAGGTACAAAATGCGCAATGCCCTCGCCAGGGTCAACCTAGATCTCTTGAATACGCCCCGAGTGTGCTACTATTACACGACGAAGTCATGCTAGAAGAAAGGAGAAAATATCTTATAAGGTTCACAAACTGTATTAGGAATGTTTAACTGGCGATCAATATAAGCTAGGGTGATGCATTTATATTGTGAATGCTGTTCGGTTCAATTTCGAGAATGCGCTAGAAAAAAGGGAGCGTCGATGCTTTTTCTTATATATGTATCATTAAAGGATATCTAGAGATTATGTAGCGAGTTGTTACTTTTGATAACTCCATCAGCAAAAAGAATTCATTTTAAGAAGAAAAAGTACGTGCAGCATCTCTCCCTTCATAGGTAAATCGCTGTTGCCTCGTACCTTATAGTGATTACGTGATAGCATTCTTTACTTCTACATTACTCTAAAATGTTTTTAGCCTTTTTAATTTGTAAATCTTGGTTTAACATTTTCTCTATTGCTGCTAGAGATGCATTTAAAGACTTTGTAATTGATTTCTGCATCGAAAATTTTTTCTGTCACTACCCACGATTTAACTTTAAAAACATTAGCCAAAATATGTACACTGCGGGAAAAAAGAAGAAAAATTGGGACTGTTCTATATCTCTCGTTCTACTGAGTTGGTTGACGAAATTCAACGTGCGTTTTTCATATCTCGGAACGCAACTTAGTATATGTATTAGATTTATATAAAGCATTGTTCTAATATAGGTATTTCGATGCAAAAGCGGACCTTTTTCTGAAATGGCATGCCAAATTTGCTTTTCATATTTCTATTCTACAACTCAAATTATGCCGAACTGCCAAGTTTTCTAAAAATCTCAAGAGAAGTTTAAAAAAAATAGCTCTCAAATTTCAGCTCTTCAATATTATTTGAATTTGATATATATTTATCAATACCTCTTTTTTTTATTAAACTTACTTGATTCCTTCTTCCAGAATTCGAAATTTAGGATTAATCCAAATATAATTTACACATTTTTTTATGACTTATTTTTAAAATTTGTATTTAAAAATATTTTTATAAATTTTTCGAAAAATTTTGTATCATAACCTACAAAATTTTTAATATCGTCTTAAAGTAGATGCATTTTTAGGCACATCTGGAAGAAATAAGAATAATTTTATTCAAAATTTTCTAATATATACATGAATTTACATATTGGCACGTTTTGAAATTTGGCATCATTTTTTTGAGTGATAATGACGCCAAATGTGGTATAAGCACTTTGTTATAATTATTTGAAAGTATGAAAGATGACCTTTTTTCCACTTGTGCACAATGAAAAAAAGCAAAGGAAGATATTTTGCTATGAATTAAGGTGTTCGCCAAGTGAATGATTCTTGGTGTAAACTGAAAAAAATGCGCCAAGATAATTTTTTGAATTTCTCCAAAATTTCTCACCAAAAATTACAAAATTTAATATCCAGGCATAATTTGAATCGTAGAATCGAAATATGAAAAAAATGGCATGTCATTTCAGAAAAAGTTCAATTTTGTGTCAAAATACCTGTTTTAGAATAATGCTATATATAAATATAATATATATCCTAAGTCACGCTTTTAAGACATGAAAAACGTCATTTGAATTTCGTCAATCGGCCCAGAAGAATGGGAGATATAGAAGTGTCTCATTTTTCTAGTCCAAAGGGGCAATTTGCCCAGACGGACTTTTAATTTCGTTTTGGCATTTTGCAGTGATTCACTATAAAAGTTGATTTACTTTAAACTTTTTTTTTTTTTTTTTTTTTTTTAAACCGCAGTGTACTTTTATCGAGTATTTGTTTCGAATCTTCTTTGCATGTAGAAGAATGATTGGCGGTTTATTTGAGTATTGCTTATTTTGCAATGAATAGTATTGCTTATTTTGCACTTCGAAATTTTAATACCATGCACTTTGCAATGCTTTTGAATTATGCAACAGGAATATTTCTCTTCGGAAAGCGCAAAAATGTTCACAGCTTATTTATACAGGACCTTCTTCAATCCACGGCTTATTTATACAGGGCATTTTGAAAGAAGAATAAATTTTAAAGCAGCAGACGTCATTTCTTCGTTAAAATAATACGCGTCACTTAGCATTGTTTTTTCAAATAGTTTGCTTTTTTTAATTCTTTATTGTAATCATTCAAAAAGTATGTAAATACCGTTTGTATACGGGAATTAATTCGCATTTGGGCGAAACTGACGGAAATGGAAATGACAGTCCTGACAAAATAATAAGATAATAATAATAATAATAATAATAAAATAAAAATAAAAATAAAAAAAAACCTATACTAGAGTCTTATCACAAAAAAAAGAAGTTAAAATATGCAAATGAATAGTATTTCAGCGCATTTAGACGACGTAGCAGGGAGAAACGACATTTGAAGATCTGTATAAAAAAAAAAAGTTGTGTAGTCGATTTCTCATTCGTTAAGTGCTTTGTAAGGTTAGAGTTTGCTCAGGATATCGTGTTAGGGCCTCAAATAAAAAGAGGAATTGCTTATCAGTAAGTTTAGAAATTCGATAGAGGTAGGATCGTTGCCCATCGAAAGCGTAGATATCGTTGCGTGATATCCCCGGTCACACTAGTCGATATCGCGCCACTGTCATGCGAATATGGAATCAATGGATTGCTGAGGGTCATACTAAACGGCAAGCAGGTTCTCTAAGTCCTCCCATGACTAATGATCGAGAGGAGAGACATATTGTGAGGTCAGCCCTGCAAAACCGTACGACCAAATCACGGACCGGGATGTTATTCGGGAAATGGGCATGTTGGCAGCACGCCCAAGTATCAGCTCGTAAGGTGCGTCGACATTTGCAGCAGCGTAGACTATCAGCAGGGTGACCATTACTTCATCTTCCCTTGACAAATGCAACATAGAGAGTCCCCTGCTTGCAATCGACATCGGCATAGGGGCCCTGCATCTGGTGTGATGGTTTGGGCAGCCATTGAGTACACAACAAGCACATCTGTAGTTCGGATCGATGGTAATTTGAACGCAGATGGGTACATTTCTGATATCTTACGTCCAGTGGTTGTGCTCTATCTTCGAAGCTCCAAACGCCATGTTCCCACAAGATAATGCAAGATAATGCATGTTGCACGTCATGTTCTGCCCTTACTCGTTACAGGGTATTAGACTGCTGCCCTGGCCTGCACGGTCTCCGGATCTGTCACCCTTTGTAGAAACTGTCTTGCTCCAGATGGCGCTGTGTGCGCTTGAATTCTTCGCACTAGTGCAGAACCTTGATGATTGCAAGAGATGTAACATTAACGGGAAACATTAACCAAAGTTTATATGTGCCTCTCTTTGTTGTAAATGTATTTGATTGTGTCATCAATAAATATGTAGAAAATGAAAAAAGGCGAGAATGTGTCTGACAGGTAAGTGAGATTTCTTTATATTTTGATTTGAATTGAGTTTTAGTGACAAAGAATGTATATGCGTATTTACACCCTTTGAAAACATCTGGTCGTGGGTTGCTTGGAGATTGGCCCGCGATTCCTCTCTAGCTAATACGGTTGATGATGTGTGCCATAGACTTGAGCATGGAATGAGTTGCCCATTTCTGTCATCCAAGCTCAGTTTGACTTCCATGCCTAATGGAGTAAGTGCCGTTTTAGCTGCCTGTATCTACTAATTTTGCACCCCTGTAAACCTCCAAAATGCTTACAAATTTAATCATTTTGTCTTCATACCATACTGTTTACATTCCATAAATATCTTTTTTGCATTTGCTTTCCTTCATGATGTTGCAATTTTAATGGCCAGCAGTGTATTTACCATGTGCTTGAATATTGTTCGTGTGATATTATCGAAGCTCAATAAAAAGCAGTTATTTTGAACACTACACTGGGCCAAATCCTGAGCAACTGTGAGACTACACATCAGTTCCCTGTACGATTATGGTGTTAGACAGCCTAGGTAATTTCTCATACGTGATTTTTTTTTAGAAATGAGGCTATTCAGCATCAATAGGAACACATAAGTACTGCGTTAAACAAGTCAACTTAATATTATATTTACATAGATTGATATATAGGGTTCTACTCTTAAAATGTCCTTTAAAAGTCTGTTTAGGATCTTGAAAAAAGTTTTCCTAGAAATTTCCGAAATGTTGATTAACTAGGTGATAAAGTTTTGTCTTTGTAACTTATAGCTTTCGTTCTTCTTGAGCTATATCCACAATTTCAAAATCTGTTTACACAGAATCACAACTATTACAAGCAATTAAATACATAAAAATGCATTAAGTATCTATAAACTGAAAACTACTCTAAACATATAATAAATAAATATTTAATTATCTACAGCTCATTCACAACTGAGGAATAAATGGTTTATGAACAGAATAAAACAGAATAAAACAATTTTGATGTAAAAGTAATACCTGGTATATCTGCGTACGATTCCTGATATTTGTTGGATGCGGATTGCGATATCGTCGTCTTGTTTCCCGGCCATAGTGAGCGTATTGGACTGTGTGATATCCATGGCGATTGTAAGTTCGTTCTTCAAACTCATCATCCACATTCCTTTTTTTAATTTCTAACAAAATAAATAAAAATGAGAATTAAAAAAGTATCACATTAGCGGAAAATGTTATTACTTGTGCGAATGTGTAAGAGTTCTTATTTTAATAATTTTATGAGAACATATTAGAGGCTGATTTATGGGGTCTATCAAGACGTAGTCATGGGAGAGAGTGCTCGAGTTCCAGAATCATTAATTCTTAAAAAAATAGCAAGAATAACCTGTACCTTTTAAAATGAAAGGCAATTAAAAGTTCAAACGAAATGTTTCGAACCATTCAATCTGCCACTGGAAAGCACCGAATACAATGAAATAATCAGTCGAACACCTTTTTGACCAACTCTTGCTGAAGTGACTGCCCACTTTCCTTGGGGCTGCTCTAAGCTAGGTTAGATTGTTTGAATATGATAAAAAGCTCGAGAGTTATCTACATAAAAGGAAGAATGCCTTCGTGGAGAACTTTCTAAGGAAAATTGGCGCGTATTCACGTCATGCACGGAGAAATCTATGAAAACCAACCGTGCAACCAGCCTGTTCGCCTGAGATCGAACTTGCAGTATTAATATTCTTAACTCCTCTGTCACTGAGATCATTGATAGGATCTATTATTTCCATTGTATTTAGCATAAGTTAAAAATATGATATCTTATGCAATATACCTAACCAACCGACAATATAGATTAGTTTAATATACTTTAAACGTGCTTAGAAGGCTTTTATTAGCTTACAGTTGTGAAAAATAATTTAACTCAAAACCTTTGTTATACTGAAATGGTTATTATTTCATGCAATTTATTGAATGCAGAAAATAAAAGGTCACTCGCACTGTTTATTATGATGGTAGGAAAGCCGGCTACCATAGCATTGGATCCGAGCTCCAATCTCGGAGAGGACCTTGACACCGTCTAACTGAAAGTCCGCAGAAATGCTGATGGCAGGGGAACAAAGGTGACAGGCAATGCAAGATGGGAACACCAGTACTTTGCTATCATGCTGGACAGTTAGAGAGGTGTAGTTCCACCCTGCCCTCTGTGCTAGAATCCGCTTTACGTTGTGCTTTGGAAAGGAATGCAAAGGAGTAATAAAGGATAATTGAAAGCAGGGAAGAAATAGCTTTAAGTTTATCGACGACATTTTTACATTGTGAATAATGTTAGAAAGTAAAGGAGAAAATCTTGAAATCAAAGAATATGATGGCGTAGCTAAATTGGAAACTATAGGTCAAAAAGAATTCTACTTTTGTGGACTTTGGGGAGAGCATTAAACCTAGCAGTTATCAATAGGTGGAATGAGTGATGAATAAGTTATTAATAGGTGGAAGGAGTGTTTTAAACTAAATTAGGTATATATGAGAAGATTTAAAAGCTGTTTTCAATTTCGTGAGCTTAGAAATTGAAGAATCCTTAGAGATCGAGCAGTATGGGCCTTCATTTTATCATTTTCGTCACTCCATCACTATATTTGTCTTTATCCATGACAACGATCTGTCTATCCTTATCAACCTTAGAAATAATGATAGGATTAGAATGAATTCACGTAAAGACCTTCCTTTTCATAAGGTTAAGATTTGAAAAAAAAAAAAAAAAATCTGAAAGCTTTTCAGATTTTATATTACGCTTCTAAAGGGGTGCTTTTTAGCGTTTTGCGTGTTACCTTTATTTCTTAAATATCATATTCTTCGCACTTAAACTATAAAATTCAATTTAACAGCAATATCGCAAAATAATTTTAAAATGAGCATATCTTTAGAATTTCCGTGAAATCGTTGAGTTTGTTATTCAAAACTTCGTTAAAGTGTTACAAAATATGAAATCGATAATAAAACATATTTTAAACTCCAAATTCCGTCTTCCAGATGCCTATATTCAGTGGAAGATTACGTTATTCAAAATTTTGATGGTACTAGGTACCGTTTTTTTATCACAACTCGAGAAACATACATACGAGGTATGACACACACATACACACACAAAAGAGACTGGTCCAATAAATCATTGTACTTATAGAATCAGTTCTCCGTGACATTACCACCTTCAAAGTAGTCCCCTTCAGCATTCACACACTTCTGCATTCGGTGCTGTCATTGCTGGTAACAGTTCTGGAACGAGGTTTTTGGAAGGACCTTCAGGAGATTCTCCGTTTTTGCCTGAACCTCTTCAACTGAGGTAAAGTGACTTCCCTTTAAACAAGATTTATTTTTAGGAAATAAAAAGAGTCGCATGGAGCCAAATGAGGTGAATAAAGAGAATACCCAATCATAGTAATATTTTTGCTGGTCAGAAACTGCTTGATAGATAGGGGCTGTGTGAGCGGGTGCATTGTCCTGGTGCAGCAGTCATCATCACTCCTCAACTGTGGCCCTTTTTTTCCTAATTTTTACAAGCCTTTTTAGTATTTCAGTGTAGTAGTGTTGATTAACAATCTGACCACTGGGAAACAACTCAATCATTACAATTCCATTAATGCCGAAGAAAACAATTAACAGTGCCTCGAATTTTGATTTTGACATGCGTGCTTTGTCCCAATAGCCTGAAAACCGCTTATGCCATTCAAACACACGTGCGCGAGACAAAGTGTTATCTAGCCTCAGTTAACAAATGAAATGTTTTCATGGCTGATTTCAAGTTTCACACGAAACTTGATGTTAATTCACTGTCCGGTTTTTACATTAGATATTTTTTTTCCCGGCAGAATGCAGTTGCACATGTTCACTCAATGACGCAGTACTCCCAACTGGTGTGTTCGGTTAAGTTGAAACTGACCGCATGGATAGAGGAGTTGTGTAGGATGACGTCACCAAAACAGCTGCCAAATCCACTCTTTTTTCAAGCTACACTTTCTCTCTCTCTCTCTTTTTTCAAGCTACACTTTCTCTCTCTCTCTCTTTTTTTATGCTGTGTGTGTCATACCTTGTAACATTTATGCAGATTCTTCATTATTTAATTTCTTAAAATAAAATACAGGGCTCTAATAATATTTGGGGGGGAACAACTTGAAAAGTGAACCGACATTTCAGCGCAAAATTCCAAAACCAAATTAATAGTCCTTCTAAGAAAACTGCTCTTTTGGACTTAAAAAAACTGTTATTAAAATTCGTGTTATGAGTAACTAAGTGAAGGATTGTATCTTTTCGTGTTTCTGAAATTTTAGAGAACTAGGCAATGTTTGCTCGAGGCAATGTTTTGAGAAGCAGAAGGTGTGAATGTCTTTAAAATGTTTAAATTATAATTTAATAAACCTTGATAAATGAATATTTAAATTATTCTAATAAATGTTATAAAAATGGCAATAAAGATCAATTTTAGGTTGCATGTAAGTTTCGCGATTATTCCTATGTGAAACATAATATGTTACTCTCCAATGAGTTAGCTATTAAAAAATAGACTTTCATTTCAATTTTGGAAACATTTATTACTATACAGTGTTACTGACCGCAAACAAAAGTACTTAGAGATCTTTAGTTTGTAAGAATTATGTTAATTTTATTAATAGTTAAATTTTAAGTTAAAGTTCCTTTCCTATCAATTCTTAACTTCAACTTACCACTTCCGGCCAGAACGTAATTTTAGAATCACGTCTGAATACATAATGAGGAAGAGCGGTCTTTAACCGCGAAGTTCTTCGGTCTTAGGAAGAGAGATACCAGGTATCCTGTCTGGACGCGTCCGCCGTTTTTTAGGCTACTCTCTCGTAAGCTATTATTACGCTCGGCCGTAACTTAGGCCCTTGATATCTTCGCAGTCTTTTAACGTTAAGGGGCCAACTCGGTTAGTTTAGATTATTCTTAGTATTATTCTTAGTCTCTTAAGTTCAAAGCCCAAGTGTTGGCTTTATTGTACACTCCAAGAAAGGAGTTTGTTAAACTTTAGTTGGAATACTTCATGGTGTGGTGGTCTGCTCACTGAGCCGGTATTCAAGAGGTCTTCGGTACTATTCCCAGCGAAGGCATTTGCTAATTTTTCATCTTTCCTGCTTCCAAAAAATACCTAATGTTTCTACAGTGGCGCCCGAACTAAAAGGGCGTTGGATGATGATTCTCTTCACCCAGGATTTGGCGATTGAGCCCCTAAAAACCCTAGTCGCCCTTTAAAAAGGGGAGTATATAAGGTATGAGTGCCACATGAAATATACATTTTTTACACAATAAAAATAACTGCAGTATGAGATTTATCTACAATAAGATGATTCTAGTAATTTCCTAAATTTTGGCTGCATTTTTCAAATACTTTTTATTTATTTATTTATTTTTTTAAATTCATACTGACAAGACAAATATATATTTTCTTGCAAGAACTGTTGTAAAAGAGCACACACTGACCAAAGATAAATATGCTGGTAACTTTAGTAACAAATATAATATATATGAATAAAACACATACATGATGATGCCAGCTGATGTACAAGGCTAGTTTTCCCTTCTATCTTGTTGTTTCCTGTCACACGAACTCAAGCGATTATTCGTTTATCAGTCTTTAAGATTCTTCACGTACAACTGTAACTTAGCATTAACAAAGTGAGGAACTCTACAAGTTCTTCAGTGTTCAGATGTAAGATGCGGAATTTAATGTAGGATAATACGTAATATTGTAAAGTAAATATAACTAAACATGGATAGATAATTTAGTGTTTGTCTGCTTCAGTTACAGCTTATAAGGCATTTAAACTAATTTGAACTGCTTGTCCTCACTCCTAATGAATGAGCCTAAATTTAGGCTAAGTTATTTGGATTACGAGAAAGCAAATAAGAGTTGTTTGTCTAAGGAGATGGATATCTTCGTGGAATTTCAAGGGAAACTGGCTCATATTTATGTTATACATAAGGCTGTGGAAATCGGATGTGGACACCACATGACCTCCTTATACGGCCTATTAAATAATGCATATTTTTTGCTGTACTTCATTTAAGCTTATTTCCTCGAATTATTCCAATTTAATTAACCAATTCCTCGAGGCAAGTCGAAAATGACATCAAAAGTTGCAAATTTTGAAATTAAATATCCCGGCCAATT